TTTTATATTTAGTTCAATTCATGCACAGCTTTTAATTACACACCTCTCTATGAGCTCGTCTCGCTTTATTGCTGGCATCAAAATGTTTCTCGTTGGTGTGATAATGTTTTGAATTGGCATTTGAAACAAAGCGGTCGTTTGTTTCAAAATTGGTTTTTGCATTAGCTATTAGTGATGGATGACATCCGTTTGAAACCTATTTTGAAACAATCTGACAATTTCGATTGGAATTCCAACAGTCGCATTGCAAATTCCGACCGAGCGAGCGATTTGAGAGGTCGGTCGGAATTTAGACTGTCGCAATAATGGAAGTTGCATTGGTCGGATTGCGGCTGATGTGTTAACTACTCGGATCGGGCCACGATTAATTATGAAGTGATTTTATATGGGTATATAGAGTATGAATTATGTTTAGGATGGTCATATGTGTGTGTCGGCGTCAAGCGATGCGACCGTTAGAATGTGGAATCTGAAGACGTGTGAATGTGTGAACACGTTTCGAGTGGCTGGTGAAATCCCGATTAACAGTGTACATCCGATACCAAAATCTGATAATCAGTTTGTGGTGTGCAATCGGTCGAATACGGTGGTTGTGGTGAATATCAGAGGACAGGTGAGTTGTTTGTTTTTGTGATCAGTGCACAACGATCCGAGAAAAACATTCAATTAGTAAAACATTTTGGTTTTGTTAAAGATTTTATTTGCTTGCATTCATTGGATGCACAGCACAGCATAGAGTTGCTTCATTTAATCGTTTGAAAACATTGAATATGTTTTGATTTGGGAGATTTGAGTTTTGACTTATGTGATTGATTAGTTTTTCGATTAGATTTGGAAGTTGATCGCATTTGACTAATCGTCATCTACTCGATGGATTGAAATGGTTTCATCTGAATGCGGAATGCTTGTGAATGAGTGATGTGACTGGTTTGCAGATTGTTAAAACGCTGACATCAGGAAAACGTGAAAAAGGTGATTTCATTGGATGTACTCTATCGCCACGAGGCGAGTGGATCTATTGTGTGGCTGNGGCAATCTGGAGAGTACGATTTCGGTTGGTTTATCGTTATTTTTAATATTATTATTGGCGAGTTTCGCTGACCATTCTTCAGCAGCATCACCCAATATCATTAAAACTTTATCACTTTATTGAATGATGTGTATTATCAATATTAAAACTGTGTCGACATTCAATATTATTCGTCTTTAGAGTAAGTATTGCGCTTTTGTTAAAATATTATTGATAGTGCCCTATCGCTGTTCGATCTTTGTACCGAAATATGCATTTTTTTTCAAAAAAATCTTTATGTTAGAGGTGTGGTATATGATTTTTTAAAATCGCATTCATCACATTACAGCTGAATCCGTCATTGACTTGGAATACAGATTTCAGTTGATTGCAAATTGATAAATGTTGTGCTTTTTGTTATTTATGGATGTTCCGTGCAAGTTTGAACAATGATTGAGCGATAATCAGTTTAAGAGAACGTCTACTGCCAGTGATTTATAGAATAAAGTTTCACTTGTTCTATGATTTTCATTCCATTTTGTTTGTCTTCTGATTTGGAGGTATTGTNTGATTTGGAGGTATTGTTCGCATGCGATTTTTGCAAAAGCTTTTTTTTTAAATTTGAAATATATGCATGTTGTTTTCGATGATCTGGGGTTATTTTGGTTCGTTTTATTTGCTGTTCAGTGTCTTTCGTTGTTTTCGCTAAGAATGATATTCTTTCAGTTGTTTATGTTAGCTTTTTACTGAATTGTTTTGTTTCATTGCGCTCACGGTGGTGATTTTAATTTGGTTGCGTTTTGTGTTCGTTGATTTTATATCACTTCAGTGTTCGATCACCTAGCCATCTGTCTATCTTTGCATTAGTTGTTTCCCTTAAGTCGTAAGTGATCATCAGCACGAGTTGATAAATTGTCGATGAGGGAAAATAACGAGAATTCATTTGCGTTCTTGTGACAATGAGGGTTGCATGATGGAGTTGTTGTGGTTGGAGCAATAAAAAACTGAGAGATGGGCTGGTTGTTATGCTGCATAGAAACGTTTTCGGTTTCTGATCGGTTCGATTCATCGCATAAGGAATTCTGCAATTTATAGTGTTACTCTCTCATTTATTACTTCATAAAAAAGCGGCGAATTTTAATTTTTGTCTTTGTAGAAAACAAAAAAGTTAATTAGCTGCGTTTTTGAGATTCCATCATATTGATGAAGCGATTTCTGCTCTCGTATACATTTATTTGTGCCTATGAAATGAAATGCAAAACTTTCAGTTACACGATGAAGCTGTACACGGTCTATGTCATCATCCACATCAGAATTTGATTGCATCCTACGCGGAAGATGGATTGCTGAAGTTGTGGAAACCATGATTCATCCCATATAATTGACATTCGATTATCAAAATGATAATTTTTTGGTTTTATTTGAATGTTTTGTTTGTTTAACACTTACGTATATGTATGTGTTATGTTGATAATCGCATTGATATTTGAATAATTGTTTGATTTGATTGAGAATTTGATTTACATTGATATTACTTTGATTGTTCACAATTCTTTTCTTCAAAATTACACTCTTCTTCGAGGTATTTCGACGCAGCGAAAATGACCAATTTCTCAATGTAATTTTCTTGCAACGTTCAGTTTTTTTTTTGTTGTTGTAATTTCATTCCACACCCTCTTTCTTT